ATAAATTATAGACGGTCTCACTGTCAATTTTAATCCATCATAACTCTGTATTATGTATTCAGTGTTTCTTCTCTCTCTCTTTCTCTCTCTTTGTTTCTCCCTCTGTCTCTCTCTGTGTGTGTGTGTGTATATTGTTGCATTATCATTTCTTGTTTGGTTCAAGTATAAACACAAAGTTGTATTCATTGGAGTCTTGAAGATTGAAGTACTACAAATTTGCTACCTCTTTGTGCTTAAGATCGATAAACAACTATTTCCGAAGATAGAATAAATAGTGATTAATTCTAATTACATACATATTTTGGATATCTATATTTTGGGTTAACACACATAATTTATGAACTATAAATCTATATTTAAGACTTTCTTCCCTCTCAAATAAATCAACTAAGGGGACATGGATCATTCAATTCATTCATTCACATTTTATAAAAATTCATAGAACATTAGGTGAGAAAGGGAAAAATCCTAGATTTTTTTTTTCCAAATATTACCGATTAAACGTATCAGTCATTTTTTATTATGCACAAAATAGTTTTGTGCAAAATCAACAGTCGAGTATGTGATAAGATATAATTAATGGACAATTAATAAAGTAATCAATGAGAGTAATGTAAATATTTAATCAACACACAGATATATAGTGGTTCGATTTGAGTGATCCATTCCACTCTAGGAAATAGTAACGGTGACCGAGGAGTCTTTATTGATGAAGTAAAGTGAATGGGGGAGAGAGCAATAGTTAGCTCCGAGAGAGATACAATAAATAGGAGAGAGAGAAAAAAAAAAAGCTATGTGTAGAGTGGTGTAATAAGATGCCCCTCTCAATTGAGAGAACTTACAATTTATAGGTATGGTGAAAGCGGTGATGTAAGGGTAAAGACACTAACTTTTTGGAAAGGATGGCTACAAAAGGTAAGTACAATTAAGATAACTTTGATTTTCGAGGGTGAGTATCTTGATGATCTCTTTCCTACGTGCTTTTATTTTCCTGGGCTCCTTAGGTCTTGGACTGAGTTGGATCAACAAGTTAGATTAAACCTACGGGCTGGACCTGAGGGATATTTTCAGCTGCTCTAAATCCACTCAATTTATTAGATCTGGTTGAGTTAAATCTAGACTCATCAATTTTAAAATTGAGTTTTTTATGTTTTGTACTAACTTAACTCATTTATAATTTTTCATAGAAAATCGTGTTATTTTTTGGATTGGCGTCAAGAATTAGTCAAACATATAGTGATAATTTCATGGTGGGTATCATTTATTAAAAAATAAATCATTAAAATTTTGAGATTTTTAGTCATGCCAGCCTACATTTAGGCATGCAAACTGCAACCACCGTGGCAAGTTGAAAAATAAAGCCAAAATAGTTGAAGAGGCGTGGGTTCATGTACCTTAAATTTGTGATAGAATTTGTGGTCCATGGGGTGAATGTAGACATATAGTAACTTCAAAATAGACAAAAATTGATTGATTCCGATTTCCGACTTAGATGTGGCCACAAAGGTCAAATTTAGAGTGCAAAGATTTGATGCTGATCCTTTTAAGTGACTAATGCTAGGTGACATAAAGAGTCTCTTTCTCAATGTATTTTAATGTTACTAATATCGAAAACATAAATTATTATTTTTTTGTCCAAGTATCTGGATTTTTTTGGGTCAAAATATAAAAAACGTATATTTCTAGATGGTGTAAAATCAATAACCATAGTTGAGACAGCAATGCAAAAAAAAAAAATCAATATTTTTGGATAAATAGATGGAAATTTGAGGGGGTAAAAATATAATTTGTCCCTATGACCGGAAGAACTATAAACTTTGATTGTGATTGAGTAGGGTATTGTTAGTCAAACTTTGAATTGATTTTTTTGACGCATATGCAAAGGTTTCCAAGCACTATGGGGGCCACTTTTGAACTATATATCATTATATACCTCTCCACCTTTGTACCATGTAAGGTATTGTTAATCAAACTTTGACTTGATTTTTTGAGGCATATCTAAAGGTTTTCAAGCACCAAGGGGACCACTTCTGAACCATATATCATTGTATACGTCTCCGCTTTTTCATGGCACGAAAAGGAAAACAATTTGTATTCTATTAGCTATTAATGGATGTACTTTTTGCTACAGAAACGTAGTGTTTTTTTTTTTTTTTTTGAACCGGTTCGTTCTGACTTTTAATAATTCAAATATTTCCGGTTTAATTCTTTTTTACATTAGTCACCATTATTTTTTTAGGAATAAGTTCTAACTCAGTTTAAACCACGGTGTTGAATTATCCTATTGAGTCAGGTCACGAAGAATTTATCCCTCATGAATACCCTATTTCTAGCGTTGATGGTCTGCCTTTGACTAAATTGAATAGGGTATTAGTCGACATGCACGGAAATTAACCCGAACACTTTAACCGTTAAACCCAAAAAAAAAAAAAAAATAGAACAATAGATAAAATATTATGTCTGTTAAAAGAGAAAAATATGAAGTATGAAAAGTGAATAAATTAGTCTTCGTGAAAGAAAAATTAATTATGCGTGTTTGATTTTTTTTTAACTGAATTATTTACCTTTTTATCCTTTAATATATACATATATCTTATTTATTTATTATATATTATTAACACATTAATTTTTAATGTATATTAAAAAATCAATCGTTCTTTGCTTTTCTTCTCTCCTGCCAAACAAAAAAAATACAGAAATAATTTCTCCTTTAAAGAATAGAAATGTATCACTATTCCTTTCTATTTTTCTATTTTTTTTCATATACCCTGCCAAACACACCATAAATCCAACAAAGTACACTCAAAGGACTTCAGTCCTATCCCAGTAGGTCAGTCTCCTGACTAGTAACCTGAAAGGTTGAAGCTTCGATTTCTCCTTCTCTGCATTCTCTCTCTTTTGTAATAGTGATTGCCCCAAAAAGAGTGCACTCAAGGCCTTGCTGGACCGGGTGACCTATACGGTCCAGAGGCCTATCTGGAATATGTAAAGGATTGGTATAAGTTTTTGGCCCGTGGACAAGATTTGGGCAAAATAAATTGGTCGAAAAAACTATTCCGGGCCAATGCTCGTTGCCAAATGCTCCAACAGGTTGGGACTAACCTGGCTCATCTTGGAACGATACCTTTTCATAGAATATAAGAATTTTACCAAAAATGGTGTTTTTTTTTCCTTTTTGAAGTATAAATATTGATAAACAGATAGAAATAGTTACAATAAATAAATAATAATAATAACAATAAAAGCTAAGAGCGTAGTTTGGACCAAATAGTCTGGCATGGGTGTTGGGCCAATCTGGTCCAAGCTCAACGAAGGTTAGTTTTTTGTGAAAATTAGGACTGAATCTTCCTAAATAGATTTATAATGACTTGAATCTATCAAAGAAATTTATTTGGAGGTAAATTCGTTTTTAATTTTATTAGTAAGGAATTAAGTCCATTTTTTTTAATTTCAAAAATACCCTTAACAGTGTCAGTTTGGTCGGTTATGAAAAATTAAAAACATTATTTACAAGGAGCTATATATGAATGTTAATAATTGAATATAGGAATACTTGATTTACGATAGTAATTGTCGACTACAAGCTTTCCATAATACTTCAAATTTAATTTCTTAATCATTATTTTCTCTATTAGTTCAATAACATCAATTTCAAAATATAATTTACTAACACATATCACTATTTTTTTTCATGTTACTATTTTTTATTAAACATGTTATTACTTTTGGAGTGTTATTTTTTTTTATGCTGAAAAATTGAAAATTTCTTTCTTTGGTTATGGGTTTGCATGCTACTATTTTTATTTTTTTTCTTTTGTTCAATTTTTTATTGAACATGTTACTATTTTTATTAAACATGTTGCTATTTTTGTTGAATATATATTATTATTGTTATTTTTTAAAATATTAATATTGATTTTTACTATTTTTTTATGTTTAACTATTATTATCATTTTGTGTTTAAATGATACTATTTTTTCTTTTTAATGTTACTATATATATAATCCTTACCTATATATGAAAATATATATATATATATATATCTTAAAAAATTTTAATGTTAGTCAAACTCTTAAAATTTATAAGTTTTTATTTTTTTAATTTTACTTCACTTTTAAAGAAAATAGATAGTCTGATAAAATTGACAAAAAAAAAAATTTCATAACAAATAATTTTTCTTGACAAACTTAAATCCAAATAAATCTATATATGGGGTCCGACCTTCAAATTTTCTTACTTTTTATGCTCTACGACTCCTTACACCATCCGCATATGAACCTGACTTGAAACTGAATTACTTTTTATGCCCGAAGCACCTAGTACAAGCCATGACACCAAAAAGACGACTTCTATCAAATGAGCAAAATAAACCTAACTTGAGTGGTTATTATATGACAAGGTGATTACTAAAATGTATAGGATTCACCTGCTTATTTGTTGTATTTTTATTGGATAATAACACTATGTAATAATAATGATATGATATTTCCATTACACCCGGNTGACTTGAAACTGAATTACTTTTTATGCCCGAAGCACCTAGTACAAGCCATGACACCAAAAAGACGACTTCTATCAAATGAGCAAAATAAACCTAACTTGAGTGGTTATTATATGACAAGGTGATTACTAAAATGTATAGGATTCACCTGCTTATTTGTTATATTTTTATTGGATAATAACACTATGTAATAATAATGATATGATATTTCCATTACACCCAGTATCTTTTCTTACAGTAGGCCACCTATAGAAAACTTGGGTACAGTAGAATTATCCGAGGGGAAATCGTCCTCGTTGCACAAGATGATAATGGTACAAACAGAGAAGCTTGGGCTTAGCCTTGCACTTAGAGCCCCAAAGTCTTGGTGGTCATGCCAATTTTGAGAACCACGCATGAAGCATTGAACAAAGCTTGGCAACTTGGAGGTGCAGTGTTGCATCGAAAAAATGACACCCATGCACAATAATCCCGTCACAAGGAAGGTCTAAGGGTAGGATCAATCAAACACAAGTGTTGATTTGAGAGGGTAGGAAGCAAACCACCTACTAACCATGGCAAGACATTGCCTGGGCTTGTACTCTGGAGCTGTGTGACCCGCTCCCTATACAAACCCAAAAATATTTACTTCGACTTTTACATGAAGACAGCAACTGGGAGAAGAATAAAGAGGGAGATTGCTCACCTTTACAGTTGCATATGTCAACTCATAGTCATTGTGTGCATACTTCGTCGTATATCTGTACTCATTGACCATAACATAAACTTCATTATTTCAATGGAAAACTCTTATAAATTGCAAATATACAACAGATTATCATAAAATATTCAAAATCTGTCTCTTTCATTCACTTCTAGGTGGCTAAACTCTTAAATTTGAGAGTAATGACATGTACAAGAGGGCCTTGTTTGATAAATAACATACTAAACAGGTCAAAAATTTTGATGTCAGAACTATATTTTTTCTCAAATGAACTCCTAATCTTTAAAAATATATCTTTTACTTACTTCAATTATTACGTCTAATTGCNCTTCTAGGTGGCTAAACTCTTAAATTTGAGAGTAATGACATGTACAAGAGGGCCTTGTTTGATAAATAACATACTAAACAGGTCAAAAATTTTGATGTCAGAACTATATTTTTTCTCAAATGAACTCCTAATCTTTAAAAATATATTTTTTACTTACTTCAATTATTACGTCTAATTGCCTGTTTTAGAAAAATCAAAACTGTATATGTTGCATATCCTTGGCATATTCTACACATCCGTGTATCCCAAACCTATCTAAAATATAATTATTTTTAAAATATCCGTGGCCTAACTAACCAATATCCGATATGTATTCGACCGTATTTGGGATATAATATATTGGATACAAATATTCCATCACTGATGAAGTATCTGTGTTTTATAGCTAAAGGTTATGTTGTGCACATGTTAAGAATTTAGGAACCGACCCTGCTACTTGCCCTTCAACAAACCATGGTTTCCAACCGCTTTCAACTGGGAAATTTAGAGACCTTATCCATTCTTCTGTGCCCTCATGTGGAACAACCATGTCATGATCACCACTGTTGCAAGACAAAATATTTTGTTAAACAGTAAAATATCAGAAATTCGCTCATAGAACTGTACTAATCACAAGTTTAGACCTCATGTCAGTTCAAGTGTCACATGCTGATGATTCGCCTTTATAATCCTTATCCAACCCGAGTGTAAAAATGAGTTCACTCTGCCATTGTATCTAAGAATTTTTATTGGTCGCAAGTTTTTTGGCAATAATGGCCCCCAGAGGATGGGGGGTTTGAGCATTCTGATTACATGAGCTCATTCCCCAAACGCCTTGAAAAACTTAAAAGGGTGCCTCTCAGTCTCAGGGCAAAATCCTATTGTTCAGACTGTTTAAAGATTTCGGTAATTGTTATCCGAAAACTGGTATAAAAACTTCAGTCATACATACTTTATCAGCTTTGCAGCTCTTATAGCAGGTGCTTGTTGGTCCGGTATCTAATCACCCTATCTTCCATTTCCATAGGCATAAGATTCTCTATGAATATGCATGTAACCATTGTACGGATCTGGGACTGATAACCAAATATTGTTCAGGCTTCAGGGAAAAACATAACAGGAAGAGCAGAAGATGATTTAAGATATTACCTGTATATTAGAGCTCGGCAGCGTTTTTCAGAGAGATTCCGGTGATACTCAACGGTACTTTGGACATTAAATGTGTAGGATGCGCTACTTTTTGCACCAACAACATAATGGATGCTATTGTTGCATCTCTGCCACTCCTCTATCATTCCCCAGTGATCATCATAGGATCAGTTGATGAATACCATTTTGGAAATGGGTACTTTATGATCTTCATCTTAAAATACCTCGCGAACGTGTAGAGCATTTTGAACGGATCTATCATTAGCCCAGGTGTAGGAGTACACATAGTTATCCTCCTGCCAAAAAAAGAAAAAGAAAATAGGCAGATAAATTGTGTAGTTGCATAAATGGGAAATTGCATTTTACACCCTTAAGTCTGTCTCGGCAACAGGCGAACCCAACTCACCTCAAGGGGTCCAAGGCAAGAAGATTTGTTTGAAACAAAACTTAAGCACAAAAAACGAACGCCTCAAGCTTAATCTCAAGGCGAAGAGGCGAGTGCTTTTCTATTTACTTTGTTGTTGATCCATTATGGGCCCTTTAGATCTACCACATTGAACAAATATTCTGATGTGCACTAATACACTAGATTTACTAAATGTTTAATCTTATGCTTAATCTCAAGGTGGAAGCATTAACTAAATGTTTAGCTGTTTAACAGTTTGACTTATNACAAAATATTTTGTTAAACAGTAAAATATCAGAAATTCGCTCATAGAACTGTACTATTCATAAGTTTAGACCTCATGTCAGTTCAAGTGTCACATGCTGATGATTCGCCTTTATAATCCTGATCCAACCCGACTGTAAAAATGAGTTCACTCTGCCATTGTATCTAAGAATTTTTATTGGTCGCAAGTTTTTTGGCAATAATGGCCCCCAGAGGATGGGGGGTTTGAGCATTCTGATTACATGAGCTCATTCCCCAAACGCCTTGAAAAACTTAAAAGGGTGCCTCTCAGTCTCAGGGCAAAATCCTATTGTTCAGACTGTTTAAAGATTTCGGTAATTGTTATCCGAAAACTGGTATAAAAACTTCAGTCATACATACTTTATCAGCTTTGCAGCTCTTATAGCAGGTGCTTGTTGGTCCGGTATCTAATCACCCTATCTTCCATTTCCATAGGCATAAGATTCTCTACGAATATGCATTGTAACCATTGTACGGATCTGGGACTGATAACCAAATATTGTTCAGGCTTCAGGGAAAAACATAACAGGAAGAGCAGAAGATGATTTAAGATATTACCTGTATATTAGAGCTCGGCAGCGTTTTTCAGAGAGATTCCGGTGATACTCAACGGTACTTTGGACATTAAATGTGTAGGATGCGCTACTTTTTGCACCAACAACATAATGGATGCTATTGTTGCATCTCTGCCACTCCTCTATCATTCCCCAGTGATCATCATAGGATCAGTTGATGAATACCATTTTGGAAATGGGTACTTTATGATCTTCATCTTAAAATACCTCGCGAACGTGTAGAGCATTTTGAACGGATCTATCATTAGCCCAGGTGTAGGAGTACACATAGTTATCCTCCTGCCAAAAAAAGAAAAAGAAAATAGGCAGATAAATTGTGTAGTTGCATAAATGGGAAATTGCATTTTACACCCTTAAGTCTGTCTCGGCAACAGGCGAACCCAACTCACCTCAAGGGGTCCAAGGCAAGAAGATTTGTTTGAAACAAAACTTAAGCACAAAAAACGAACGCCTCAAGCTTAATCTCAAGGCGAAGAGGCGAGTGCTTTTCTATTTACTTTGTTGTTGATCCATTATGGGCCCTTTAGATCTACCACATTGAACAAATATTCTGATGTGCACTAATACACTAGATTTACTAAATGTTTAATCTTATGCTTAATCTCAAGGTGGAAGCATTAACTAAATGTTTAGCTGTTTAACAGTTTGACTTATGTGTTTTGAAATGTTAGGATTTGACATATTATTTGTGTTTATTTTAATTTAAAAGTTTATGCTTTTGGTTGCCATTAAAATTTGAGATATTATTGGTATTTGTTTGAATTTAAATGTTTATGTTTTTTGTTGCATTTTAATATTTAGTAATTGAGAAGTTGAGACTAGAATATTAATAAATTATTTGCATGATTTTTATACTATTCGCCTCACTTCAATGAAACTTTTGCTACCTCTTGCCTCTCGTCTAGGCTTGGAGAACCTGAGCGTCTCGGTTATGCCTTAAAACAGCTTGTTACCAAACATATACCTACACCTGCTGCCAAACAAATTTTAACAAAACTCACTCTCTCTCTTATAGTGCCAAGGACCAAACTTTGAGGACTTAATTTTTTTTAGAAGAAAACACTGAGGACTAAATTTTAAAATGNCAGGGCAAAATCCTATTGTTCAGACTGTTTAAAGATTTCGGTAATTGTTATCCGAAAACTGGTATAAAAACTTCAGTCATACATACTTTATCAGCTTTGCAGCTCTTATAGCAGGTGCTTGTTGGTTCGGTATCTAATCACCCTATCTTCCATTTCCATAGGCATAAGATTCTCTATGAATATGCATNAGAACCTGAGCGTCTCGGTTATGCCTTAAAACAGCTTGTTACCAAACATATACCTACACCTGCTGCCAAACAAATTTTAACAAAACTCACTCTCTCTCTTATAGAGCCAAGGACCAAACTTTGAGGACTTAGTTTTTTTTAGAAGAAAACACTGAGGACTAAATTTTAAAATGATGCATCACTCTTTTTAAAACAATAATGCATGGATGTACATAAAGGGGCAAGGGGATTACCCGACACCATGATCAAGAGAGAAGTTCTATAGGATTTTCTTCGATAGGGCTTGCATCCCATGCTGTTAAACTTGTTTTGGAGTCCAATGATCCACACCAGGGTTCTAATATGTGTGCACCACGTATTTTTTCCATGCACTGCAAATCGATTGATCAAGAACATTGTTAAAGCATAAAATCCTAGGGATAACAAGGTTTGTTATAAACACCATACAAATCCTGCTCACCTCCTGTACCAGTTGAAGATCATTTACACATAATGCATTATTTGGATCTACATCCGTGTACTCGCTGTGACAATTTGATTTGGTTGACTGTGAAAACAACAAAGGATTACAGATTTTTGAGTCATAATTTNTGGAGTCCAATGATCCACACCAGGGTTCTAATATGTGTGCACCACGTATTTTTTCCATGCACTGCAAATCGATTGATCAAGAACATTGTTAAAGCATAAAATCCTAGGGATAACAAGGTTTGTTATAAACACCATACAAATCCTGCTCACCTCCTGTACCAGTTGAAGATCATTTACACATAATGCATTATTTGGATCTACATCCGTGTACTCTCTGTGACAATTTGATTTGGTTGACTGTGAAAACAACAAAGGATTACAGATTTTTGAGTCATAATATGACATTTGCCAAGGAAATGTGAACTAGAGCCAATCATATTCAGTGTTAAGAGTGAATGATCTGTAACACTGTCACACGACAAGTGAAGAAAAGTGTTGATTTTGTAGGACACCAAGGATTCACCCACACAGTTACACTAGAACAAAGAAATTTAAGCAAATTGATCTACCAGCCATGGTTTTTAGAAACTTAATCATTCCTCATCGAGGAAGCTAGTTGACAATGAGAAAGCTTGAAACTTAGCACTATTGTAATTGTGCAGGAGAAAACTTGAAACTTAGCAATATTGTAACAGTGCAGGAGAAAACTTGAAACTTACCTCATAGAGTTCATCTGAAATAAGGGCCACTCGATGGGCAAACTTGACTCTTGAATTAACATCACTGCTTTTATCTGTTAGAGGGTTTCCCTCCAAGTATCCCTGCATCCAATTCAAACACATTTAATTCAAACAATACTTTACAATCCTACAATTTTAATTTTCAATCAGTGAAAATAAACGAAGAATAACCCTGCCAATTCTGGTTCTTGAATTTGATGTTGTACCTCTATATTCATTGATGGCTTGTTTCCGTTGTCGTTACCTACCAACAAAAAAAACATATGCATATCAAAGGNCTATATTCATTGATGGCTTGTTTCCGTTGTCGTTACCTACCAACAAAAAAAACATAATGCATATCTGTTAGAGTATGTGTGGCTCATATTTTGCTATGTGCATAATGGCAAGGAGGCAGATGCTGGAGCGGGCAGNAAAGTTGGCTGTTCAAAAAAGCGTGCCCTATATGGTTTACATCTCAGAAACTGTTTTTCTGTCTTCGGAAACTGTTTTTGAGAGAAAAATTGTTTGACCAGCTGTTTTATGTTTTTGGTTTTTGAAAACCGAGAACAAAAAATGGATAAATTTAGATAACAAGTTAGTGTGTTTTTGGAAATATCTTTTCTAGAATTTACAAAACACCACCACCACCACACTTCCATCACCATCACATTTCTATTTTCATTGTTTTCTGGTTTACTGTTCAAACAAATTTTTCNCATTGCCGAACCACGTAAATCTCTGTGTGTTATTTTCTCCTGCTTTCTTAATTGTTCGATTCCTTACTATTCACCATAATTGCTGCACGATCACAACAATATCAAAAGNCTGGTTCTTGAATTTGATGTTGTACCTCTATATTCATTGATGGCTTGTTTCCGTTGTCGTTACCTACCAACAAAAAAAACATATGCATATCAAAGGAGAATGTGAGCTAATGACCCAAACTTTGCTCCATAAAAAAGTTGGCTGTTCAAAAAAGCGTGCCCTATATGGTTTACATCTCAGAAACTGTTTTTTTGTCTTCGGAAACTGTTTTTGAGAGAAAAATTGTTTGACCAGCTGTTTTATGTTTTTGGTTTTTGAAAACTGAGAACAAAAAATGGATAAATTTAGATAACAAGTTAGTGTGTTTTTGGAAATATCTTTTCCAGAATTTACAAAACACCACCACCACCACCACACTTCCATCACCATCACATTTCTATTTTCATTGTTTTCTGGTTTACTGTTCAAACAAATTTTACTGATTTCTGTTCCGTAAAATTGTTTTTGGAGTCATATAACCAAATAAGTTCTGCAATACAAACACCACCAACAAACACTTTTCTAAAACTCTTCCCACAAACAGTTTTCAAATATTGTTTTTTGAGACGCAAACCAAAAAAGGGTGTTCTATTTGGCTTGCAAGAAAAAATAAGCAATGAAACAAAAAATAGAAATTCTAATTTCTTATGATGAAAGTATTGCCACAAGATTAGAAGTTGTTACTCATTTGTAACAAAATATGAAGCATAAATTACATGTCTACCAAGGGGTATGCAGAACGAGAAGTACCGTTATATATTTCCTGCACAATGATTGGAACAACTATGCCGGTGTAGGAATCACCAGCAATGTATAGTGGATTGTCAAGAAACTTAGGGTGATCCATAAGCCACTGCATTACATTGCAAAAAAAATCCACAATCTGAGCATAAAACTAATGGAAATTTGGCATGTATAAGCGAGAGAAACGTTATAATGAAAACAAGCACAGCTGAATCGGTCTTTTCGGCTCATAGTTGGGCATGGGCTGAAAATTGGTGGGACCAAAATTTCTAAGCCTCTAGGCCAACCATAACAATCGCCAGTCAGTTCCACAATTAACCCCAACCAACAGTGACCAGCTAGGAAGCACGGATACTTCTCACAGGGGTGCCGTGGTAGTATCGGATATGTGTCCGACACAAACACGGCCAGGACGGCAGGACACTTGTCCAACACGACTTGAAGTGTCATGAATAGTGAACTCAGTCGAACACGACAAAGATACGTCTAAGACACGTTTAGGATACGTCTAAGACACGGTTAGGATACGTTTAGGATACGGCCAATAGTTTTTTTTATTAAAAAAACAACTTTTAACTATTAAAACTTTATTTTTCTTAATATATTTTTTGTTATGTAACTTATATACTATGAATGTTAATAGATGCAATGATGTTTGATGAAAATAGTGGATATTTAATTTGATCTATTTCAATTTTAATCAAAAAAATAATATTTACTAGGTCTTATTATTAATATTGTTATAATATATGCTTTATTTTTAATATATTACAACTCTATTATTATTTAAAAAATATATTATATTATTTTAATAGTCGTATCCTTGCCGCAAGAGTGTCCTATATTTTTTAACTTTGTCGTATCCCCGTGTCCATATCGTGCTTCCTAGGTGACCTGGCCTCTAGGCCAACCTGTCCAACTCATGCTAAGGAATTTCTCCTTATTCGGCAAATATTTTCTCACTTTTCTAAGAAAGTGGTAAGTTTGAGTTGGTGACAGTGTATCGTTAACAATGTAAGCTCCAAAGTTTTTGCATAGGAGTATCCAGTTCCAGCAGGTTGATCCAAAAAAATTATGTTAACAACCTACAAAAGTACAACCATCACCTTAGTTGACAACATAATAGACCATTTGCACATCAATTGTTTCCATTTTTTCATTACAACTAAAGCATAAGAACATAGAAATCTAACACCTTTGTCCATGAATATGGATTCAACTCCAATGTTGGTTGGCTCCCGCTGGAATTTGCATAGTTAAAAGTAAAGAGGCCTAAATAAAGAATATGAATATTATTGTCTTTCAAACAACTAAGGGTATGCATCAAGAAAAATACCAACATATGCAGATTTGCATGGTGTCAAGAAGTCCAACATAAGGAAAACACTACATGGACCAAATTAGCTGACCAAATCAATGGTGATCGTTGGATTACTCGAGTCCGTCCCGATACCGAATGGGTCCATGACGAATTAGACAAATATATCAACAAATTAGACACTATTAGCAATTAAATGGACTAAGTCCAGTCGACCACCCTTGTTTAGCTAAAGATCCTTTCAATCAAGAGATCAACGGTTGCATGCATACCTACTGTATTGTGGCCTGCTCACATATAAGAGCGTAACAACTTGATTATGGACCTATTCTCTAATTACTTGTGCATTTAGAATAATTGATAGTCTAAAATGTCAGACAACCCACAAGGAATACTCAAAATGCCCCTGAAGGAACCACCTAATCTCATCCAATAGTCAATTTAACAACACTATGCACCAAAGACGATGGCAAATACCAGAAATGCCCACTACACAGATATGGTTGAATGAAGTAAAGCATAGATAATATTTAATTTAGCTTTAACAAATTTTGGTGTTATTCACAGAATTAGGATTTCAAAAAGGTCTTGCTGAGTGTTTCAATGCCTTGGATAAAGAGACAAACATAAGCCTATCAATGGATCAGATATTATCCAATCGTGATTTAGCATCTGATCCAATTTTCTTTTGCAACCTGTCAATATCAACCTTTGTCGCATTATATGAAAAAGATTGAGATTTGGGACACTATCAAATTTGGTAAAACTTAGTATTGAAACTTATTACATCTTTCAGAAATAGATTCCACCGTTGGAACCTAATAAATTTTGAGGTTTGATCAAAATTAACATAATTTAAAATTGAAATGACCCAGGTTCGTATGTCATCGTTACACCAATGATCAAGTGTGTACATGGCTTTCTAAGATTTGAAACTCATCATTTGTAATTGAAAAAAAAAATATGCACATCGATATGAAAATGAACTGATTTGTAAACCTTCACATGATTAAAGGCCTAATTTTAGGGTCCGACTACGGTATAGGTTATATGCTGATATTGCTACCCTCTTTTTTTGTTCAGTAAAAAATGGCATGTGTGATCTTATTTGTTATTTTACTTACCTTTCTGCTTTCATACTCTGACTATAAATAAAAGAAACCAACGTTTATGACTGAAAATTGTTTTCAATATTTTAAATTTTAAGAATTAATTATTTTTTCAAATTATGCTAACTTCTTTTTTTAATTGATAGTATGACTTTTGATCACAAATATTTTGATAGGAATATAATCTGTCGCCTCATTTATATTTTTATGTTCTTCATCAAAATCATGATTGACTACTATTGCAAATACATTCACTACTATATTTTTATTGAATTATTCTATTATCTTCAAAATCTTTAGAATCATTTACTTGTTTATATTTGAAACTTTTGCCTAAATTTGTTCATATTTTATTTGCTACGATTAACAACTTTATCAAAAACTTATTTTTGAAATTAAATTAGATTTTATTTTGGATCCTTTATAAGAATAAATAGTTTAGTTGGTATTTTAAACTTAAATCACAACAAAATCGAGTGTGAAAAAAAGTAGAGAATGCGTTGAGTTGAGTTTTGTTTTTTGTACTTGTGAAGAGAAAGAGAGATAGATGCTTATTTTATTTTTCTTTTATCAGAGAAAGTTAAAAAAAGATTGAAAATATCAAGACTATCTTGTTAACTCTTTTTGTCCTTTAATAAATGTGACTGTGTGAGGTGGATTAGACTTTTGAGCCTAAATTTTAAAAATATTACACTTTGAGGAGTTTTTTTGTTTGACTAAATTGTATTAATTTTTAATAGTGAAAATTGGGATAGAGTCCCTTTTAATGGACTTATAATAAGTTTAGTCTGTCAAAAAAATTTATTTGGGAATAAATCGATTTTTAAGCTGACTAATAAATTGTTAAGTCTACTATTTTTTTAAAGCTCCCAAAATACCCTTCTTATGACATTGAAAGCAATTTAAGTCACTTTCTTAAACAATTACTACTAGATTCATGCTCAATGAAGATCTGCATTAAGATTTTTTCCTATAAATTTGAATTTCAAATTTAAGAGTAATTATTATTCATCTTCTTCTTAATCACCCCTCTCTCTCTCTCTCTCTCTCTCTCTCTCTCCATGAACAGTAAAGCATGACGACAAACAATTATTTTTCTTCCCGCAAAGCACATGTGGGCTCTTGAATTTGTCTCCCCGTGAACATTAAAGCAAGTATGTGACAAGAACTTATTATTCTATTTCAAGATTGGCGCTTGTCAGATTCAAGAGGCCCATATATTAGTGGAAGCAAGACAACAAACAAATATGTCAATTATCTACTTTCAATTCAACTGGTTCATGATTTTGTTATTTGGGTATGTGCTTATGCATTGATTTTTTCATTTGGGTATATTTATGCTACTTTTTTTGTTTTTTGTTTTTTTGAAATGTTAATATTTTTTATTTTGAATGTTACTATTTTCCGAAATATTAGTATCTTGTTTTTTGTTTTTGAATTTTATTATTTTTTTGTTTGAATGCATGTTGTCCATGTTGTTAGATTGCCAATTTTGGTTCAATGTTCCATGTTCCTATTTTTTTTATTGAGCATGTTACTGTTAATATTGCATGCTATTATTTTGCGAAACTTTAATATTACATATTACTATTTTTTTTAAAATATTAATATTCAATATCACTATTTTTTATTTTGAATGTTACTATTTTTTATTTTGAATGTTACTAATTTATCTCATATATGTGTGTGTGTGTGTGTGTGTGAGAGAGAGAGAGAGAGAGAGAGAGAGAGAGATTAATTAAATAGTCCTAATTTATATATGTACTAGTCATTACCCGTGCCTGAAAGCATTATGTTACTTATAAAATTTCAACACACAACGATAGGATATTTGAATAATTTCAATGCATAGCGATTAGATTGGTTTTAAACATTTTTTGTTGGTGCAATTAGTATATTATTTTTTTTGTATTGATCACCTATTTTTTTTTAATTGTTGATTTGCTTGGGTTTTGGATTTTGGATTTTTTTTTTTGAGAACTATAGGTTTTTATACAGTAGTGATCTATTTTTTGTATGAATAATAAATTGATGATTTTATTTATTGATTATAAAGACAATTTAAATTTCATTAATTGATAAGAAGTAAAAAGTAAACATCAACCACTGTTACTAAGATGAGTGATAAGAAGATCTACTTACGGTGTATTTTAGGTGTGAATCAGTTTATAATAAGAAGGATGAAAAATTATATAATAAGTATATAATGATTTTTAATGAAATATTATATCAAAGGTATTGAAAAAATTGATAAACCAAATAACTTTCATGTCAAAAAATGGTGACATTGTCCATTTAGGTACTAATTTTTGTGTTGTAGTGATAGTGTGTATAAGGTTATTGGGGTCAAACGTAAATTAGCAAACCTTGAAAAAAGAAGCGCTAAACTTAGAGATATTATGTATTTTATGTGTGTTTAATAAAAATATTTTTAATTTTATGCAAAATTTTATCGTAAAATTAGAAATTAAACAAAATTAACCTAAATCAAGGTACAAACAACACATTTTTAATATATAACATTTAACAATAATCAGTTAATAACAATATATCAACAACTAAATCACACGAACATTAAAAATTAAAAACAACAAACTATTGTCAAAGCATATACTACTAAACTAATACTAAAAAATCATCAATATTCATAAACACACATAAATGTTAAACATTTTCTAATCGCACAGTTATAAAAATTAAACATAAAATATTTGATATCTATCCAGTTATAAAAATTGAACAAAAAAAAATAATCAACATGAAATAATGAGATGTTTTGTCACTAACAAAATTTGTAATAGATATTCTTTTAACTAATCATTTATGACAATCAACAATATATTTTGTTCACTTTCAATAAAAATTAAAATTTTGAGAACTATAAGTTTTTATATAATTTTGAGCAAAGTGGTGATTAGGTATGAATAATAGTTTGAAGGTTTTACTTATGTATTGGATATTTGTATTTTTTGTTTGTGTGAAAGTGGTGATGACAATTAGAGTCATTTTGAATTTTTTTTGTGCCATTGGTAATACTTGTTATCTTTTATTAGTCACTTATTTTTTTTATTGATGATTAGATTGAACTTTACAAGTTTTCATATAGTAGTGATTTATTTTTGGTATAAATAATAACTTTATTATTTTATTTATGGATTGTATATTTATACTTTTTATTTGTGTAGAAGTGGTGATGGCGATTAGATTGGTTTTGAATTTAACTATTTTATTTTATTTATAAATATATATATATATATATATATATATATAAAGAGAGAGAGAGAGAAGAGATGAGATAGTGTTTTTAAAATGTCTAAGAGATAAGAGAGAGAGAGTAATACGAGAGATAGAAGTGTTAGAGTTAAGTCCAATTATAATTGTTGGATCATAATTTTTGAGATGATTTGAACCGTTTTTTATATTGAGATTACATTATCTGTTGGATGTATTTATATTTTGTCTCAAAACGATTTGAACCTCTCTTTGTCCTTTGGATTCAAATTTCGTTCTATTTTATTACATAGATATAGATAGATATAAGAGAGAAATAATTTTAATGCTAGTAAAACTCCTAAAATTTAGGCATTATTAGTTTTCAAATTTGGTTTAATTAAATATAACTATGGGGAATATTTTAGACAATAGAAATCAAAATAGACTTATAACCAAATAAATTTTCTTAACGTACTAAAAATTCAAATAAGTCTGCAAAAGGTGATCGGCCCTCAAATTTCCCTGACATGTATTACATTATTGATCTCTCAAATTTGGGGCCTTATTTATAAGTGGGATCTAAAGCCCACGCTTTTTTTTTTTCTCTCCTGTTGAGCCGCATTGATATCGATCTCCTATACCCACCACCACCATTGTCATCGCCACACTACTATTGTCGCCACCAAAAATCTCCCCCAGCACCACCGCATCCACAGTCACCTCCACTTCAGTGGAAAATAGTTTAGTGAGCAGTATTCCAACAGGCATTATAAAGCTTCAAAACCTGCACGATTGTTGACTTGTATTGTTTTAGAATAGGCCCTTC